TTAATATATATTTAAACAATTATATTTCTAACTAAATATATAAAATTAGATTCTTCGTGAAGGCGATGTTTCTAAACCATTATAGGTATATGAAGGAGCATATCTTCATGACAGTCCTTCTTGAAATAAAGAATAAGGGGCAACTAATCCCCTAGAAATATATTTCAGCTTGTGCATGTACCATGTACGTACTTACTTTGATACCTATGTAATTAACTGAAATATATTACAAAGTACACAGCACTCACATTACAAAACTGGAGGGTAATGTGGAAGGTCCTTGTCAGAGTCTTTTTTTTTGGGAAAGTCCTGCTAGTATCCTTATGCTGAGCTTGTTATATAAAGGATGCTGGTATTTAAATTTTCAAGTATGTATACCGTTATTTTTATTGAAGGTCAATAGGTGTTTAGTCAAGTTATAAATATGTATAAAAAAGTTGTGAATCTTATTTTAAGGAAATATTACGTAACAAACACCAACAGATGAATATGTTTCATTAAACGAAAAGAAAGTTATTTGAATTTATAAACAGGTTAAATGGTAAATTTTTAGTTAATTTAATTTTCACCAGGAAGTAGGTACATAATATGTTGCATGATAATTTAAAACTAAACTAGTGGCATTAGGAAATTTTAACGTGTTTTATGAGTATTTTCTCTATGGTTGTTTTTTATAAGATAGTGATTAGAGTTACGGTTAAGCTTGATTAAATAATTTTTAATTGGTAGGTACATTTTGTGGTATGTCACACGACTGCGAATGTGCTTTTTGTGAATATGCATTTGTGCATAATTGTGGATTTCGGAAATACTGTAATGGTAACGTTACAACTTTAGATAAACAATAAATCTACACTAAGTTTAGTCGAATATGCACTAATTTTTTGCTTTTTTGTCATTAGACAATACAAACCGGCCGGTACCGCCCGAACCGCTATGTCCCTGCATTTTAAGTCTGTAATATCTTCGAAAATGTTCATTTAAATTACATGCTGTAAAGGGTCATATTGATCTATAGGGTTGTTCGGAAAGTCATTTCGTTTCTTTTTGTGGAAATGAAAGACAGTTTTCGTATAATAAACAAATACTTTATTAAATTATATATTGACCGTTCTGGTCCAACACCTTATGCCATCTTTCTGGTAGTAGCATAATTCCACGCTCTTAAAATTTTTGGTCTTTGCTGGCAAAAAACTGATCGAGGAGGTTTTTGACCTCCTCATTTGAGGTGAAGGTTTTACCGTCTAAAAAATTTTGGAGTGACCGGAACAAATAATAATCCAATGGTGCCAGGTCTGAAGAATATGGTGGGTGTAGCATTGTATCCCATTCAAGCT